CCTCCCCTCCTCACATTCCCTCCAAATACCCCCCACCCCACTCCACCTACTCCTCAAAAAGCGTAAGGCACATTGCCTTGAGGAAGGTCCAAGACCCCACCTAATATATCTAGGCTGTGCAAGGTATCCACCCAAAGAGAATAGGTACCCAAAAAGTCAATACAAGCAGTAGGGATGAATCCTGGTTCCACTTCCAGTGGCCCCTCAGTCTGCCCCAGCCATGCAACTGTCAACCACATTCAGAGGGACTAGTTTGGTTCTATGCTTGTTTCTTTCCAGTCCAACTGGTCTTGGTGAGCTCCACTTAGCTCAGGTAGATCATCGTCTTGACCTCTTTGCTCATATTCTCACTCCTCCCACTCTTCAACTGGACTTTGGGGCTCAGTCCAGTGCTCTGATGTGTGTCTCTGCCTCTGTTTCCATCAGTTGCTAGATGAAGGTTCTTTGGTGATATTTAAGATATTCAACAGTCTGACTACAGAGCAAGGCCAGTTCGGGCACCCTCTCCTCTATTGCTTAGGGTCTTATCTTATGAATTCCTGAGAATTTCTCTAGATTCAGGCTTCTTGCTAACCCTATAATGGCTCCTCAATCAAGATATCTCTTTCCGGGCTGGAGAGATGGCTCAGAGGTTAAGAGCACTGACTGTTCTTCCAGAGGTCCTGAGTTCAATTCCCAGCAACCACATGGTGGCTCTCAGCCATCTATAATAAGATCTGGTGCCCTCTTATGGCATGCAAGCATACATGGAAGGAATGTTATATACATAATAAATAAATTAATCTTAAAATAAACTTAAAAAAAGATATCTCTTTCCTTGCTCTCATCTCTGTCCTTCCTCCATACTAACTATTCCAATCCGTCAAGTTCTCCTCTTCCCACCTCTTCTCCCCTCCTTTTTTCCCTTGCACCCTCCATTCTCCCCCCAACTCTATGTTCCCAATTTTGTCAGGTGATATTGTCAATTTTGACTTTCCAGGTGGATCTATATATGTTTTTCTTAGGGTTCACCTTGTTACTTAGCTTCTCTAGAATCATGAACTATAGGCTCAAATGGTCTTTGTTTATGGCTAGAATCCACTAATGAGTGAGTACATACCATATCCATCTTTTTGAGTCTGAGTTACCTCACTCAAAATAGTGTTTTCTAATTCCATGCATTTGCATGCAAAATTCAAGATGTCATTGTTTTTTACCACTGAGTAGTACTCTAGTGTGTAAATGTGCCACATTTTCTTTATTCATTCTTCAGTTGAGGAGCATCTAGATTGTTTCCAGGTTCTTTTTTACAAATAATGTTGCTATGAACATAGTTAAACAAATATCTTTGTAGTATGATTGAGCATCTTTTGAGTATATGTTCACAAATGGTATTGCTGGATCCAGAGGTATGTTGACTCCCAGTTTTCTGAGAAACTGCCATACTGATTTCCAAAGTGGTTCTACAAGGTTACATTCCCACCAGGAATGATGAGTCTTCCCCTTACTCCATATCCTCTTCAGCATAAGCTATCATTGGGTTTTTTATCTTAGTCATTCTGACACGTGTAAGGAGGTGTTGGAAACCCACACCATAAAAAAAATTACAAGAATAACAATATAACAGGAATAAATAAAACTTGTTCATTGTTAACCCTCAATATTAAAGGTCTCAATTCCCCAATTATAAGACAAAGACTATCAGATTTTATCAAAAATCAGGATCTGGCCTTGAGAAGTAGCTTCAGGTTGAGAGTACTGGCTGCTCTTGCAGAAGCCCTAGGTTTGAGTCTTAGCACCCACATGACAGTTCAAAACTGTCAGGAATTCCAGGTCCAGGTGAATTCCACTGCTCTTTTCCAGCCTCCATGGGACAAATGCACATAAATAAAAGTAACTTAAAAACAACAGAATGAATCTTTCTGCTGCATTTAAGAAACATACCTGCCTATTAAGGATAGATATCACCTCAAGGTAAAGGGCATTCAAGTCAAATGGATCTCAGAAGAAAGTAGTTGTAGCCATTTTAATATCTTATAAAATTGTCTTCAAACAATAACTAAACAGAATAGATAGAGAAGGACACTACAGACTCATTAAAGGAAATAGCTGTCAAGAGAATATTGCAATTCTAATCATTTGTGCACCAAACACAAGGGCACCATAATTCATAAAAGAAACATTACTACAGCTTAAATCACATATTGACCCTCACATAATGATAGTGAATAACCTCAATATCTTACTCATGTCATTCAGACAAAACTAAACAGAAGAATGCTAAAGTTAAATAATGTCATAAAGCAAATAGACCCGGCAGATGTCTACCAATTATATCACCCAAACATTAAAGAATATATTTTCTTCTCATGGAGCTCTCTTCTAAATTGATAACATAGTAGGGCATGTTATAAACCTCAATAAATACTTAAAAAATTAAAATAGCACCCTGTATTATATTTGACCACCATGCATTAAATTGGATATCAACAACAGCAGAAATTATACAAAGTCATGGAAACTGAACAACTCACTACCAAATGGAAAATGGGTTAAGAAAGAAATCAACTGAAAACTAAAACATTTTTTGAGTTGAATGAAAATGAAAACACAATCTGAACCAACAGGACACAATGAAGGTACTTCTAAGAGGCAAGTTCACAGCACTAAGTGTCTCCTTGAAAAAAATTTTGAGAGTTCTCATATTTTATCTTTTCAGCATATCTGAAATCTATACAGCAAAAAGAATTGATACTCCAGAAGAATACAGGGAAAGAAACTCAGGGCTTAAATCACTGAATTAGAAACAAGTGATACAAAGAATCAGTGAAGAAACAGAGAGGTGGTTCTTGGAGCTTGAAGAAAATCAACAAGATTGACAAGGCCTTAGCCAAATTAACTAAATGACAAAGAGAGAAGGTCTTGGGCTAACTCTAATCAAGAAAGTGAAAGACTTGTATAATAAAAACTTTAAGGCACTGAAGAGTCAAACTGAGAAGGAAATCAGAAGTTAGAAAAATCTCCCATGCTCATTGATCAGTAGGATTAATTTTGTGAAAATGGCTATTCTACCAAAAGGAATCCTTAATAAAAAAGAATAAATTCAAGATTTTTCTATATATTCTGCTTTATTTATGTTTCCATACAGAGTTAGAAATTCCAATTTTCAATTTCAGTGAAGAATTATATTAGAATTTTGATGGAGATTGTGTTGAATATGTAATATACATGGGAGAAAGAACTTGAACAAATGGTGCTAATCTAACTGGATGGCTGTATGCAGAAGAATGACAACAGATACTGATCTATCAGTCTGCAGAAAACTCCAAATGGGTCAAGGACCTCAATATAAGATCTGATATCCTGAATCTAATAGATGAGAAAGTGGAGAAATAATCTTGAACTCGTTGACACAGAAGAAAACTTTATCAACAGAACACTGATAACACAGGCATTAAGACCAATTAATATGAATAGGGCATCATGAAACTGAAAAACATCTATATGTAAAGACATTATCATTGAGCAAAACAGCAGCCTGTAGAATGAGAAAAGTTATTTACCAATTAGATATCTGATAGAGGGTTAGTTTGTGAAATACATTAAAAAAAACGGAACATCAAGAATACAAACAATGCCCTCATATGTAAAAAATACTTCTAAAGCTTAAATCAAATATTACACCTCACACACTAATAGTGGGAGGCTTCAACACTCCCCTCTCACCACTGGACAGGTCACTCAGACAGAAAATGAACAGAGACATAAGAACTAACAGATGTTATGACTCAAATGGACTTAACTGACATAAAAGCACTTAATAAATCTTCTCAAAAATTGACCACATACTCAGTAATGAAACAAACCGCAACATCTATATTTGGTTGTTTAAGTCTTGTTGTTGTTTAGGGTCACTAGATTTTACTGGTGTTGTGTTGCTCTTTGTGATGTTGCATGTGCTCTTTCCTTGTATACCCACCTTTTCCTCTAATAGGTGTGTTTGGGGCTGTCTGTGACTCCAGTCATCAATCTTCCAGGTGCCAGTGGATCCAAGGCTCAGATGGTTGCTCCTCATGGTGCAGTCAATGCCGCGGTTCCAGTCACCTCATTTGTCACTCCATGTTTCGCTCAGTGGTCTCGGGGTTTGCTACACTCCTGTGGCCTAGGTTGCCGGCTCAGACCTGTTTCCGTAAATGTCACTGTCCTGGATCCACTCGCAGACTTGGGTGCTCCTAGACCTGCAGAAGTCCTGGCTCAGGCCTACTCCCTCACGTCTGGACCTGCAGGGGTCCTGGCTCAGGTCTACTTCCTCATGCCCTGATCCGCAGAGGTCTCTAATTCCTGTGTACACCCTTGTAGGTCCCAGACTCATGCCTGGACCCACAGAGGTCTCTGGCTCTGGCCCATTCCCTGTTCCTGCTCCTGTGAAGTTTGCTGTCTCAGGTCTGCTCTGGCCTAGGTCGCTGACTCAGTCCTACGCCTATGGAGTTTGCCATCACAGGCCCTCTCTGGCCCAGTCTTGCTAATGTGGAGTTTGCTGCCTCAGCCCTTTCAGCTCTTTATCAGGCAGCTCTTGGACTTGTGTCTCTTGGACTCAGTATTGCCATGTGTGAAAGAGACTGTTAGCCTTTGCTAGCATTTTCCTGTGGCCTCAGGAGCTTCTAGATAGACAAAGGATTTGCACGGTGAGAGGAAGTCAGGCAGCCTTGGGTGTCTGAAGCTCAGGCTCAGGGTTTACTGATCAGGTGGCTGTGGAAACTGTAGCCAGACCGTACTCACCATGGGTCTCCTGTCTTCCCTTGGAGGGTATTTGCCCACTGCATTCTGATGTTTTGCCATTGCTACAGACAGGTAAGGATAGTTGGGGCACTCCTTTCTATTGTAGGAATGTGGATTCTTTGTGATGTTGTGGTTTTTCTTAGTAGTTTGATCCTTTCTGGTATCAGCTGCTCCCTCATTTTGGCTTTCTGAATGTAGCTGTCATGACTATATCAGACTCTTGGCTATGTCTCCCATGAAACATGAAGCCTTTTGGGGTGCTGGTTCCTGGAGGCAGGGGTGACAGGAGGAGGCTGGCAGGGGCTGACTATGCAGAGTGTGTCTCCTATGCAGAGTGTGTTTCCAGTGGTCTGCACAGTCGGCTCCCGATGGAAAAGACTCAGCTGAAGAAGAAGGTTGTCATACTGAAGCAGGAGAAAAAGAAATCGCTGGATGATTGGGCCCTGCTGAAGCACCACTTGGAGGACATGAATGTGATTTGTAATGACCAAGAGGAAAAGATCAGTGACCTCAAAACCCAGCAACAAGAGGTAGGGGTAGGCAAGTAAGTCAGGCTAAGGTCTGGCACCATTTGCCCATTTGACTGCCTCTCTGCCCATCCACCCACCTGTGCCTTCACCCATCACCTTAACCATTCATGTTCCCACCCAGTGACCCACTCACGCTACCCAGGTGTTCATTTCAGTGTCCACACACAAGTACTCCTGAGAAGTTAACCTCTTAAGAGAAACTTGAGTTTTGGGCAAGCCATCCTTGATACTCTGCTTGAAGCTGCAGTCCAGTGAAGGAGAAGGGTCAAGAACATATCACATACCTACACGTGCACAGAACTTTGAGTGAGTGAGTTCTGGGTCCTGGGGTTCATTTGCTCAGCAGGGCTCATGAAACATCACAGGTTAGAGGCAGTTTGCAAGGAGGAGATCCCCGTGCAAGTGCCAAACAGTGCTTCTCACAGTCATGGACTTGTGGCATGCGGTCTTCTTCTTACTTCCTGCACCCCAATGTTTTCTCTTCACTTTACCCAACTCCTGGTTGACAGTGACAGAAGCCTGAGCAGCAGCTTGTCAGCCCTGTGTTCTGTGGGGGGTGCGGCACAGTTCTCCAATCCAGCAGTGGTTATTGGATGATTGGCTGCGGGCTTTTGACAAGATGGTGGTAGAAGGTGGGAGATTCGGGCCTCCAGGGGAAGAATTTTTTAACAAGCTAAACATAATCTGGCCAAGCAAATCTTATTTCCCCCCAACAGGATTCTTTCCACCAAGAAATGATTTGTGAGTTGTGAGGCTCTTCTGAAAGAGCTGGCATGGTTCGTCTAAACTGAAGTATTCATCTGCCAGGTTTATTTATTTCTCCTGGTGTTCTCTCTCTCTCTCTCTCTCTCTCTCTCTCTCTCTCTCTCTCTCTCT